CATTTCTGCTCCTTTAGAAGCTTTAAAGTGTACTTTTTCCGATGACGTTTGACAGTTTGTCGCTTTAATTGAGTTTTAATGTCATCGCGCCAGTTGTTTGGTTTAATTTGATGTGAATAAACAAACAAATAATATAATTTGGTTTTAAATTGTTGAATTTTGATTTAAACTCTATAACATTTCACACCAACCACTTGATTTATAGCATTGCATCCTAAAGTCAGTGAATTCCAAGTTCTTTTCTGAAAAATGTTTCCATATTTTTCATGATAAAAATAGTAATCTAGCTATACCAACTTTTTCAACATTGTTTATTTTATCTGTTGTTTTGCATTTCAAAATATTTTTATATTTTTCGATTTCTTTCAACAATAATAACTCTTCTTCTTCGCTAAAACTACAAGACCACTTTTCTGTCCATATTTATTTATTATGATGTTAACACTTTAACAAAGAACAAACTCTAAAAAATACTAAAATATTTACAAACATTTTCCCAAATAAAGATACCCCCAGTAAGATTATAGTAAAAAACAAACAAATATTTTAAACAATTGTGAATTTAATATAAAGTAGATCGTAAATCGAAGTTCGAAAAGTCAAAAATATCTTAAATAAGTTGCTGAATAATTTAAAAATTCGAAAACAAATTTCAATAATCCCATTACGAATTATTAAGACTATCCCCGAACCCCAAAAGTGAAAACAAATACTTGGAGATTTGAAAAAAAGCCTGCCGCAGCCGGGGATCGAACCCAGGCATCCTTGTTTGCTAGACAACTGCTTGTTGAGATTCCTAGACAGAAGTTTGTTGTGTTAGTTGAGGCTAGAGAGCGTTTAGGCTCGTTCTCAAATCTTCAACTACCTCTCTACATCTTTGGTGTATATTAGAAATGCATTTATGCATACTAACCCCATATCTTCGTCTGTGTGAGTTAAATTTTCAATTCAAAGGGGAATTTTTGAGATTTGTTTCTGAATTTTGAAATTACTCAAATATTTATAATTCTAAAAAACTGCACATTTTTAAAAGTATAAACTAGTACCTAGTATGAATCCCCGGTTTCGCATACTCGCTACGTTTCTATCCTTTTTCGCCAATTTTCCACTATTTTATCCTACAGAAAAAGTAAAAACTGGTACATTGGGGATATGGTGGGTTTCAACACTTTTGAAAAAGTGTAGTAGCTCTTTTAATTTAGCAAATAAAATGTTGAATTCTAAGTTTAAAAATTCATTATACTGTCTTTCCGTTGCGAAATTAGTATTCGGTTATTTTTAAAATACTCTGTATATTTTAGCAATACCTAAGCCCTTTTCTAAAGATAGTTTGCTAAAACGTTTTTTACATTATGAGAGGTGACCCAATATTGATTTTCCATTTTCTTTAATTTTCTGACGTCTTACGTTGTGGCAGTCTCGCTGGTCCTGCTCTACTATTCCACTTTTCCAGGATTTCTCAGTGTCATTGTTATCAATGTCTCCGAAATCTTTAACATATTTAAAAACATCATTTTAAAAATACACATGTAATGGTTTAGAATAAAAGACGCCTTTGTCGTTTCCAGCATCAGTGTTGAGGTTGATATCTTTCTTACTATTCCAACCAAATTTTCCAGGCTTTCCTGTTGAGTGGTTCCATTTTCCTATTTTTCTTTGATCGGTTTTTTAATACCTCTTTTCGCTTCATGAAATTTCTTTATAAACTTTTCTTTGTCCAACATTACCACCATATGCTTTCGCGATTTTTACGGCATATGAACTAGTATTCTATTCCCTGGATAAGCAACTAATATTCTTTTAAATAAAAGTGAGAAATAATAAAATATATTTATATAAAGGGCCACCACTGGCAAAACGCACCCCTTTTTGCCCTCTGCAAATTGCAGAAGCTTTCATAATTTATTTGTCTAAAAACTGACACTCTATTAAAATATACTTACTTTGAATTGTAAATATTAATGTATTTAATAAATTCTAAACAAACTTCAATGGTTTTCAGAAACTTTGGTTTTAAATTTGCATTAAGGCACTTAGCAAAAACAGCACGGCCGACCTCAAAAACTTCATTTTAATATGGAACGAATCTCGAAATTAGAATTTGGAAAAAGGGACGGATTTGTTTTTATATAATATTTGTAATTTTTTACGGTATTCGGAGACGCTGAATTTGTCACATGTGCCTATGTTCGCCCAACCTACTTTGACGGTTGAAATGATTTATTTCCAACCAATTGGTATATCATATTACTGTAGGTTTCAAATATATTAATAAGTTTCTATGCTAAATAACAAAAAAAAAAAAATTGAAAAAACGATATAAGTAATAATTAATTTTACATTAGTTTGGAACTACTGCATTTTAAATGCTAGATTATTTCTGTTTTGGAATTAGTTATAATATTTTTTACCTTATAGTCACAATCTTCGTATTCTGCGTGTTTTTTTATAGCTAATAGGTGTTTAATATTTTAAATAAAAGACAACGTTTGGAATGAAAGAGGGTCCTGATCGCGATGGAATTCCAGCAGTTGTTTGAAAAATTGCAGGAGATAATGATATCAATTGGTTTGTTGCTTTAGGGTGAGATTACAGAACGTCTGCAACTTTGCAGATCTGCAAATATGGCGGCAACTTTGCAGATCTGCAAATATGGCGGACTTACAGATGCAAGTATCCAAAAAATATCTGCAAATTCGCAATATGTATTACCCCTAACAACACTAAATCCAAATCCACCCTTAAGAAGGTTAGAACATCCTACAACCATGAAGTCTTCTGTTTCTTTTGATTGAATACAGTTTATGGTGTCAGATTATCGAGTATTTAAATATAGTAATGGATTTGGGTTTAGTGTTGTTGGGGGTAATAAACCACAATAAATATTTCGAATTTGCAGATCTTTTTTGGAATACGAAAACTTGATACATGCATATGTAAGTCCACCATATTTTCAGATCTGCAAAGTTGCCGCCATATTTGCAGATCTGTAAAGTTGCAGACGTTCTGTAATCTCACCCTTATTCGATAAAATGGCAGTATATTTTTTTATTGTCACACAATTCTAAAGCAACAACCATACATATGGGGAGGATCTGTATGCGTCAGGCATGTTCCTTAGACCAGAGGTTCCCAAACTCTTTCGTTTCATAGACCACTTTCAAAATCTCGAAAAAAGTGAAGATTAGATCTATCTATGGAAACTTGAGTGGTGGCTGAGTTTTAACGACATATTAACAGTTTTCGAAAAAACAAAAGGTTAGAATTGATTGCTTGATAGGGTGAATTATTTGATAATAAAGTCGACTAAACAAATTTTCAATTAAATTTTAATTGATTGTGCTGTGAGTGGATGTAAAGAAAGCAAAGTTGGTCAAACGAAAAAGTGACTCCATTTAACTTTTTTGAAATCTACAGTGACTCACAGCACAAGAACCAATCAATTCTCACAAATTTTATTTAGAAAACGTCCCATTCGGAGTGGTAAAAAGAAAGTATATTTCCTTGTGTTGTAGGTATTTATTTAAATTTAAATATATAAATTAATTCACTATTAATTATTATTGTTATACCGTCGTAATATAATTAAAATTAAACACTTATAACGTAATGTAATTTCTACAATGGTAATTACAAAAAAAATATAATTTTAATGAGAGGGATGAACTTGATGGATTGACAGAAATTATCAATATTTGGCACGAGTTTTATAACCGTAAATCTCCCCTTTCTATGATATTCAATCTGCTCCTTTTTTTTGTTAATAAATTTGTAACGGCATTAAAACTTTTTTCAACGAGATATGACGAGGGAAACGGGTATTTCTGCCTGCAGCCAAAATTTTTGATACCCTCTTTTAAATGCCACTTTCAGCTCCTCATTAGTGCTAAGCTCGAGTAGCTCCTCCACATTCTCCACTTCCCTTTTATCAAATGGATTTATGGTATTTCCATCGACAGAATATCTTCAAATCTGAATTTAAAATCATCATGCAGGGCAATCAAATGTTGAACATATGTCTGAATATCTTCATCAAGGCATTCTACCTGCGACAAGTTTGTATTTATATTGGTGAAGAATCAAACACGTTCATGCAAGATTGCAAGCACATACACCACAAGTCGTATTAATTTGCACGTCTGAACAAGCGTTGCGGACGGGACGGCGGCCGGCGCGGCAACGACAAGTCTCGATGCGTTGTACTGAATATCAAATATGCAAGTTTTTACAAGTAGCAGTCGCTAAGCTTCTTAAAATATTATGTGCCTATATTGATAAGAGAAGTCAAGTCAACATTTTAGTAACTAAAATGTTGACTGTTTATATTATAAACAGTTGAAGTTTTTTACAATTTCTTCATCACATGGAAAAATGAGTAATCAATTGTTTAATAGTATATTGCTTCACTATCGAAACCAAATTAATTTTCATGCACCCTCGCCTACGATTGTGGACCCCCATTTTTTATTACGCCCAACGTAGACCCCCGTCGAATTTCCCGTGGACCCCTGGGGGTCCACCTGGACCACTTTGGGAAATACTGCTTTAGACGATCCTGTTTATCCACGTGTAAGCTCTCTACTAGTTTGTACTATACGTATATAATTTAATCTATTTAACACTCTGATGTCAATATAATTTTTATTGTATGTCATTAATACACATTTATATTTTAAAGTTTACTTTATTTAAAAGCCTCATTGACAGATCCTATAATAGTAGTTTATTGAAAAATTGAGATTATTTTATCAAGGTTTTAGATTCGAGTCTAATATTCAAGAAATTGAACTACGGACATATAATGTCCTAATGGCTGAATTGGTAAGGCTTCGTGCGTAAAACTATAATGTGAAGCGTTCAGATTCTATCTCGGTACAGATTTTTTAAATTTTTCAATTAATTTATTTTCACTTTGGGGGTTCAAAAATAATGTTCATTATTTTATCAAAGAATTTATATAAACATACTCTTTGAAACAGTAAAATATCTCTTTGTTTCAGACGCATGCGGCTTAAGTGACGTGGCCCACATCGAATCAATCCAGGAGAAATCGCAGTGCGCGCTGGAAGAGTACTGCCGATCTCAATATCCAAACCAGCCTACTAGGTTTGGCAAATTACTGCTCCGTTTGCCGAGCTTAAGGACTGTTAGTTCCGCGGTGATCGAACAATTGTTTTTCGTGAGATTGGTCGGGAAAACTCCGATTGAAACATTGATCAGGGACATGCTTTTGTCTGGTAGTTCGTTTTCGTGGCCGTACATGTGATACTTAAAATTGTACTAGGTGTACTAGTCAAAAAACGTATGTTATACTGATATTAAATATTGATATTTCTTTGATGGCAACCAGCAATATAAAAATAGCAATAAATAACTTACTGCTGCGGATTTTTTGAAAGTAGAACGATAAAATTTTAAAAAATTATTTATATATTAATAAAAAATTAAACGAATATTAATTTTATATAGCCATCTTTGGGTACTTAAAGTCATCGTTTCCACATACATATAATTAAGTGGACCGTTTAGGTATTCATATTTTTTTCTAAAATTGTTATTTGTAAATTGTTAGTTGTCACAAATTTGATTCTCACATATGTTTACCTAGTTTGCTCCTTTAATATCTAAACACTAGGTAACTAGAAAAATAGTGCCATTATAATTTTCAATAAAATATATATAATTGAAATTATATATAAGTACGTATGTACCTAATTTAATGAGTGCAAATAGTTTACTCAAGCGAAAATTCATTTGAAAACAGATTTTTTGTTATTTTTTTTTTTTATTTTTGGATGCGATAAAAAGTATATACATGGTGTTTCTTAAAATTGTTATTTCTTTTACCACTCCACGGATTCAACATAGCATGGATGACCTTATATTTTACTTTTATAGCCTACTATTTCCTCCAAAGTCTGTTCAGTAAACTATAAAATAAGTAGGTAACTTATTTCCTTCTAGCACATTTATGTAGTTTTCTCTACCTTACATACTGTATGCTGTCCTCTCATCATTCACCTTTATCATCTATACATTTCAGTTTAACCTAGGTTCTTAGTGAACTAATATGTCTTGTTACACTTTGATCAGCCATACTCAACCTTCCAAGCTGTTTTATGCGGCCCTCCTTAAATTTTTTGTGCGGCCCTCCAAGCTGTCTTATGCAGCACCAGACACTATTATTAGGAATGACCTACAGTCTTTTTTTTGAAACAAATTTTCACAAAGCTTATTAAAACAACATGAGGACTTTTTTTTTAGAAAATATGTAAACTAAAACAATATGAGCGGATTCCTATTGTCACTCATTGTGCTTTATTTACATTTCAAAAAGTTATCATCAAAAAATATTGTGATATTGTGGCCCGTGTAGCATAACAAACAAATTTTGTGACCCGAAAGAACAAAAGGTTGACTACAGTTGACCTAGACAGGCATAGACATGGAGGTGGCAGTATCTTAACCTATTAGAACCTTTGTACATATTTTGCAATCCAACTACGGCTTTGACAGACCATTAAACATAACTTTTATCTAGTGGATGTTTTTAATTGTCCACACTTTGATATCTTACATCAGTCCAGCTATTTTTTGCTACATACATCCAATATTCTTTCTAGTTTTCCGTGGTTTAGAAGAGTATTTATCTGTATAATGTTTCCCACTATAATGAATCATAAAATATCTTTAATATATTTGGATTGTTTTAACACCTTAGTGTTCTGTAAAAATATTACTGTCGTTTCAAATAAATGTGATGATGGATAGGTCTATAAATGTTTTGGATTTGAAGCTAAGCTATAACTTATGGTGTTTCAGCAAATGGCAAATATAACATGAGTTGACTTTCCCTCAAAGCCTCCTTTTTTGGCCAGAAAATGTATTTCTTTGATGCCTTTGAAGTGCATTAATGATTTATCCTCATTCATTATCTAATATATTCTAAACATGTTCCTTTATTATTATGTATCATAATTTATTCATGGTTTGTGAAACAATCTACTGTAAAATACCTTAAATTTCCATAAAAAAAGTGTTTTACTTTCATAGAATATGTGTTTTCCAAAACATGTTCAAAACGTATCTGATAAACCGAAGAAACACTACCCCCCACCACCATAGTAAATCGACAGTAAGAAGGTCAGAAAAATTCCGTTAGAAATGTATAGCTTTCTATTGTCCCAGAAATAGAACTTGTTTACTTTCAATACGTTCTAAATTTAAACAAAATTCAAAAACAGTATTTTTAGTTGACCCAAAGATCATTAGTTACAGGACTTTTTCGAGTTTGGTCTTTAATATTAGACAAAGCATTTTCTGTCAAGCAGATGTACATCTATCTATCTATCTGAATTAGGGCGTGGTTCACCCACTCGTACTGATGCTCTAGGTTTATTGTACCCCTCACAGTTTCTATCCCATCAGAATGATTTTCTTGATGAATTCAAGAATATGTCTCATGGGCGCTTTCGCGAGATCTTCAGGTTCCGGATATTATACCCCAAAGTACCTTTCCCGTTCCCATTTAAGGTTCCGGCAGTGGCATAGTATGTGAATAAGAGTTTCGTCCTCCTCTTCACATATTCTATATAGGGAGTCATCAGATATCCCTAAGAGATTTAGGTGTCTTCTAAGGCCGCAGTATCCCGTAAGGAGTTCGCTTCTGCTAAGGTTTAGCAGTTGATTTTGTCTGCTCGTGGATGGCCCTTCTATGAATCTTTTGAACTGTCTAAGTCCAGGAAGTTTCAACCAGAGCCTATGGCGTTCTTTATTTATTTGTTCTCTTAACACCCATTTGACATGTTGGTATGAAATACCACATGTGGGTTTTGGTCCAATAATAGTTTTTTCCGCTCCGTTCCTTGCTAGGAGGTATCTTTCTCGTTTCCAAACACTTCCTCATCTCCCGGCATCCATTCAAGGGTGACCTTGTTATGTTCTGTCAGAGCCTGGAGGTACTGTTGGCAATCAAGTATTGATTTAGATTGTACGTCTACCCTTTTCAGTGCTTTAAGGGCTGTATGACTGTCTGTCATGATAAACACCCTCTTATCTCTAAAAAAGTCATTTAGCATGACTTTGGCGCAGGCATTTATTGCTGTTACTTCAGCCTGGAAGACTGTTGTCAGTGATCCCAGGTTCAGACTAATGGTCCTCCCTGAGTTCACATGGTAGATCCCAGCTCCGTACTATTTTTCATTTTCGAACCGCCTGTATACCGGATTGATTAGTTTTGTTTTTCCCCATTTTCCCGGCTTTTGGCCATTTTTGGTATTTGAATATAGGAAAGGTTTTCTGAAGTCGTGAATAATGGGTTCTATCTGATGGCATTCTTAGTACCGGATTTTTTTTTTTTTCATTTCTCTATCATTATGTGATGTCCTTTTCTCGAAAGTTCCCATCCAAATCCATTAGTAAACAGCCTGTATGCCGCCGCCATAGCCCCCTTCTCCACCACAAGGTGTAGTGGAGGAAGACCTGGAGGTAGCTCCATTGCTGCTGTGGACGTAGTTCTAAATGCCCCTGTTATTATTATACAGGCTAGTTTTTGTACCTTGTCTAATTTTCTGTTAGCTGTTATGCTTGTAGTCTTGTGACCATATGACGATGAGTAAGTTATAACAGGTACTACAATCATAGTGTAAAGCCAGTGCATCATACTTGATTTAAGCCCCTATATGCTCCCTACCATCCATCTACAGGCTTATAGTATTCTTACAGCTTTCTCTGTTGTTTTTTCTATATGGCTGCAGAAGCTAAGCTTGTCATCAAGAGTGATTCCAAGATATTTAACCTCTTTTGCCATTTTTAGATATTGCCCCTACATATAAAGCTCCTTGAAGGTTCCTTTTTCTTGTGAATGCAACCAACAGAGGTTTTTGTCGGGTTTGTGGACAATCCCTCTTTTAGGCACCATCTTTCGACGATATTTAGTGCCCGCTGCATCCTTTCGGATACAACAGACCAAAATTTACCGTTTACTACGATGCTTCTCTAACTTCCATAAGACCTCATCAACCACCAGATGTACATAATAATATATATCTCTTCAGCCTACAATATCCTGTTAACAGGCCAACTAGTACTTTAAGATTGTTCCTGTTCTGTCTTAGTACTGCTACTTCATTGAGCTGTATATCAGATAATTTCTGCGTGTATAGGACGTCTTTTCTTGCATGCATCCTTGTCTAGTAGGGTGGCAAATAACTCCAATGTGAGTCGTTCTAGAAGAAAAGTTTATAGAATATTTCTCAATACTTCTGGTACACTCTATTTATTTGGAGCATGAAATAAAAATTGCTCAAAAATGTTATTTAGATAAAAACGTATGTTGGAGTTTTGTTTAAATTGTTTATGTTAAGAAACGCCATGTATAAACCCAAAACGTTTCATATGTTTAAAAACGCGCGTAAAATAAGTTTCCAAATTAAATAATGCAATAACTTTGGTGTTTTCACAATGATTACTACAACATATCAGAAGGAGCAAAGTCGAGCAAATTATCAAATCGCCAAAAATAATTGACTGGGTAATACTCAGATTAAATGAATGTTCCTTTTTATATAAAAAAATATTGTAGATGTATGTTAAAATTAACAAACATATTATATGTAAATGTAACGGTAATATATTTTACTTGGTAATTGTAATATATGTATATAGACTCAAAGTAAAATTGGGGCGGCTGATTGTTAAGAAATTATTTATTTAAATTTTTGTAAAAATCTGTGAGTAACATGAGTGCAACGTACTGATAAACATCGACTATTTTGTAATAATAACAATAACTAAATAAAGGAGGATTTGTATCTCTTGAAATCATTAATATTCTCAAGATATATATATTCTCAGTTTGGTTTTAAATGATGGTATCAGATTGTTTATGATTCAAACTCTCCGATATAAATTCATTTATACATTTTTACCTTCTAAGATTTCATAGATTATCCATTTCCGGTATTACATTAAAATACAGAGTTTTAGGAATAACACCCTCATAAATTTTACAGGTTATTAAGGCAGCAAAATTATTAATCGTAGGTATTATCCCTAACATCCTGAATATGTCTTTATAATAAAAGTGAAAAAATTACAAAATGAGTCGATGTAAGAGGACCACTGATCGCGGTCAAATTGCCAAAATATAGTGAATTGTAAAATACGTGAGCACAATTATTTTTTCTTCTTTTTCTTGATGTCTACAAATACTGAAGTACCTAACATTTTAAACCGACAAGGTAACAATTTGAGTATTAATTTCAT